TGTTACGTTGAAAAGTCAACCTTTTCTCAACATTGAGGCAACATTGCCATCAACCTTTTTTCAACGTCGACACAACGTTGTTGTGCCGAATGGGAAAGATCATTAGGAAACCCTTCGACGAATCAGTTCGTTCCCTTCCCGCTAACAAAGTCCTGTACACTCCGTACAGAAGTGTCCGCTTTTATTGCTACCTATAAAGAGGCAAGGCGACGTAATGTACCTGAGAGGGAGATTCTTGGGAAAGAGGAAAAGGCTATTCTATGTACTGTGGGAAACTGTAGCTCCATAACTCCATCTAGTGGTCTAAAGTGGAACTTTTCATAAATAACCCTTTAAAGTGGTGTTTCACTGTCATCTATGCCTTTTCTACTGTTAACCCTGAAAAAGTTTAAACCTGAACGCTGTTTGGTAACATCCGATTCCTATGAAATACTATGAAGCATGGATAAATATTCAGCCTAAAGAAAATACATTTATTCCTCTTCTTGTGAATAACCCACTCGTGGTTATACAACGCTCAAAGGGTTGAATATCAAACGTTCCAGATCAAAAGCGATAAAAAAAAAGGATTCAGAGGAGGTTCAATATATTATACATCTAAATAACCCTTTGAATTTTTGTTGTATTGACATCTAACCATTCTTTTCTATTCATTCCTCAAAAAGATATACCATGAACCCTTTTTGCTGACAGTGGCAACTTAGGCGACTTAGGCGACGACTTAGGCAAACGGAGTTTATTTTCAACAAACTCCAATAAATAAAATATATGAATAAAACTTAACTCTCATTTGTTGAACTTACACTGTGATCAGCAAGGAGGCGTGGTCTATTTTTGTGACTTGGGAATCACGAACCTTTTCTCGGTTTGAATAAACAGATAACCCCCGGAAGACAAAGCCATTTCATGAATGTCGGCCTCTGTAACTCCAAGTGTACCGAAATCGCCTTCCCACCTGAAGGGATTCACATCTTCTCCGGCTTTCTCCATTCTCATTTGCTCGGTGAGTCTCCGGGAATATTCAATCCATTCCCACTTCGTTGAGATGCTACCTTTGGGGAATTCTGAAATCAACTCTTGAATGCAGGAAGGAAAATGCGAGTCCGGGTGTTCCGAAACGGCGAGGAATTGCCCTGGCTGCAAAATGACGACAATTATGACTTCGATTATCAACAGGTCCGAGTCTTTCGGGAACACATCACCCTTTATCCTGGAGATCAGCTCATCATGGGTTAGTTCTTTGTCATTGCCTATCGTGCAGTGAGCAATGTTTTTGTCAGATCGAGACCTATCACTCGAACAACGTATATTTTAATATACAGAATGCGACTATGATTCGTCGAATCGGGATTCGGTGACCGTGAGTGGCTTTGGAACAATGGAAGAGATGTGTCTGGCTTTCTTCCAGTATTATCCTGCTGTGAATTTTGCTGCCTGCTTGAGTTTCCCCCATTTCGAGAGCATATTTTCTATGTTCGGCATCACTGACGTCTGGCTCGACCCGTATGCTGTTTTTCTCCCCTGCCCTATTTTGCAATTCGTCTCCCGTTCAGACATTCAATTCCGGAAACTGATTTTTTTTCCAACAGGGATGGAGGCTATGAATACATGGTGTCGGAGGACCAGACCCTGGTGGACTATCTGAACGAGTTTGACTGGTCGGGCGTCGACATGGAAGGCTTCCAACATTTAATGCGTTACGATCCTCATTATACGGGATGCGTCAACAATCAGGGGGAACTCCTTCTCGTGAGTCTTCTTCCTTTCAAAATCCATAGAAACCAGGACAACGATATTTGGTTCCATCGAATGAGTGGTTGGGGGTTTTCCATAATGAACTACCCTAGTGGCATATATCAATGAATCAACGTTGGGATATTGAATCAACATTGTTTCAATGTTATATGCCACTAGGGTAGCTTTACTGCCAGATATCGATGGTCATGTGATTCATCAAGAGCTACGTCGTCGGTGTAGCTCGTGTACTAATGTAATCCAGGTTTATCATCATGATGGCTTGCAAAGTGCATTTAGAGCCTCCCTGAGGAATCCTTTATTTTGATTTTCCATTTCAGCCATGGAATCAGACGACGAGCTATCCCGAAGGCGTGGACTCCTGGATGCCTCCCGGACGAGAATGTCCATCTGGCAAATGAAACTTTTTCCCTGTCCTCTCTTGTTTGAAGAAAAATTCTAATGCCCGCAATTTCTCTTGCCTTTCCTTTCCTTTGCATGCACATCTACTTGACATAAGTTATCAAAAAGCCTCATTTACCTCTTGGAGCAAGCCTTCCTACCAATATAAACTAGATAATGCTACGTCTCGAAGCGCGTATGAAACAGTTTTCAGGATTCACCATAAAATATGAACAGTATATCTCCCCACATCCTAGCTGAGTCCCTCCATTATATATACTGTAGTTACTCTTATAAAGACTGTGTACAGGATTCTTCGGCATTCTACGCAACTATAACCGATTTTAAATATGGAAAACTAATTTATATTCTGACAAACGCGTATTGAATATCTGGAGCGGCAGTCTAGAAGAGATCCACTTGAGTTATCCCTCCCATTCGGATGTGGAAGGCGATGAAGCTCATCGAGCTTCAACGAGCCTCGAACTCGAACCGTGCTCATTCGTATGCGATATGCCTCTTCTCAGTCTAATTCAACGTGGCCTGTGATGCTGCATGAATTTCGCGAGCAATGCGAAGAAAGATCAGTGTGAGAGAATGAACGTATATTAGGAAAAGTTGCGCCGGATTTCGAATTCACAAATATCAGCGTTGTGGAATCAACCTTTCCGGAAAGGCTTCATATTAAATTATTACTGCCGAAGTCGGACCACATTCGTGATTCCCTTCCTCCTGGTTCTCAATTTTTGGACTATACGCACAGGGTGGGCCAGAAGCAAGGAAGCACGTTTGAACATCAACAAGACTTTTTCTGAAAAGCAACAGAAATAGAAAGCAGTATGTGTGAAAGCACAAGTTCACGAAGTATTTATATCTATAAAATCTTTTTACAAAAATTGTTCAATGTGTTCATGTTTTTGCACAACTGCAGTCTTTCTGGGACCGATTGGCAAACACGTTGGCATAATTCCACCGGCAAGTTCTGCATAGTAGTAACTATTGCTTCCTTGAGTGCTGGAAGCGTCTGAGGTTTCGTTGCATAAACACTGTCTTTGATTGAACCCCATAAAAAGAAGCCAGCTGGGGTCAAATCCACGCCGCCCAATCCACCGACCTGGAAACTTTTCGTCCAAGAAGTCGCGAATGAGCATAGTGGGCCGGAGCTCCGTCTTGCATAAAGATGATTTGCCCAAAATTCATTTTAGATGCCATGGTAGGAATGATTTCTTCACTCAGCTTTTCCAGATAGCTATCTGCAGTGACGGTGTTACGAAAGAAGAACGGTCCGATGACGCCACCGGACCAAATTCCAGCCCATGCACCAACGCCAGGGGCATTCAACTCTTGTGTGATCACGACATGACGATTCTCAACGGCATAATAAACGCAATTGCGCCGATTAACATGCCCATTCATTTTGAAAATGGCTTCATCAGTCCAAAACAATTCTGTCCGGCGAAGAAGGATTTTCAGCGACCAAGTCCAGGAAGATTTCGGTAAATTCGGGATCATCATCGCTCGGGGCGACGATCGGGATCATCATCGCTCAATGCATGAAGTAATTGAGGGTGACAGGGCTTCAATCCGAGATCCTTAATCGTTCGCCGAACGCTGGTCCTAGCCAGATTTGATGACTTTTTTTGGGACTTCTTTGAAGACCAACGAGAACCCGTTTCTTTGTTCTCGTAATTTCTAACGGATCTTGGTCGAAACTTCCAGTTTCGTCGAACGAGGTTCAAAATGTTTTTTCGGATTGGAGGAATTCGGCCATAATGCTCCTTGATCAACTTTAGCCGGGAAATGGAGTACCACTTTACAATTTGAATTCTTTCTGGGATTGATAACCGAGAGCTGTCAGCCATGGTTCTGATAATCTGGAAAGAGGGTCAAATATGTATTAGGAGTAGAGACGAAATAATATCTAATATCAAAGCGAAAGCCGTTCAAACGTGTTTCCTTACTTCTGGCCCACCTTGAACATTGGCTCTATTCTTCGTACTTGGGAGGGAAAATGATTTTTCCACTCCCAGCAAAGGAAAGGAGGATTTCAATACTCCGCAGAGCAGGAAAGGGATAGCCGTTCCCTGCAAAGTACTAAGATTAGTACTTTCAGAAGAATATTTAATTCATTACTTATTACCGAGACTTATTGGACACGAGACGGGAAATGGCAGGAATCCGCCAATCTAAATTTCATTTCAATCGAAAACTTTTCAATGTTTCCTTCCCATTAAATCCAGAAAAGAAGCGCTTATTGGGATCGTGTTTGCTGAGATTGGGAAACTGCGTTCCGATCATCATGACGAGTGGCGACAAAATGACGAAACGAGAAAATGTAACAGCGGCGCCGAGAAGACATGCGAGGAGGAACAGAAACTTCCTCGTTCAGTCAGTTGATGCTGCCACGAGGCAGCATCAGCTCACTGGACGTGTCGCTGCGTGCAGGGGGGGGGGGGAGGTTTCTGCATGCGATCGTATTGGAAACCGATTTTATCGCCCGTGAGACCTCGTTCGACCGAGGTCGCATTCCGTGTCCTTGTCGTCTGGTACAACCAAGGCTGCACTCCCGATGTGGGCCGTGATTTATACCGTTCTGTGTTGCAGCCATGGATTGCGAGGAATGAGCTTCCAATTGACTAGGCGATTTTTAACATTTCCAAAAAAATTAGCAGGAAAAAACTGGAAGGAACTTCATTGGCTTGCTTAGAATAATTCTACAAGCTTTCCACTAAGCCACAAAGCACAAAGGCGTTTCGCAAAAAGGTTGCAGGTTATTCCGTTTGATTGTGTGGGTGGTACGTGACCACAAATTCTCATTGATCCTGGAACATTTTCTGATAATCACGAGCAAGATTATGTTGGTTTAGCCATGTTTATCATTTCTTTATTATGTGATCTGACAACACAATGAATCTCACACACGCTTAAGCTGATACCACCTGTCTCGAGCTTTCCGAAGTCGGGCCCTTTCACGACTACACCCACAATGGACTCTAAATGCATCAAAATGCCGGAAACTGAATGGAACGGAGTACTAATAATTCTGTAAATCCGACTGGATAGTATCCTTGCATTGAACGGATCTGAAAATTGGGCGATGGTGGGAATCAAGAAAAGTTCCTCACAAGTTTTTTTTTTTAAAGTCAAAGGAGAGTCGAAACAGGAGAGACTCGAAAGTTAGGTTGATTTCATTCCTTTCCTCTTTAATTATCCGACACGTTGTTATAAAAGTCCCAGATGCATTTGTTGACCTGCTCAGGTGCCAATGACTCACGCTGGTTGAGTGATTGGGTTCAACATCTCTTAGAAGAGACTGACCTCTAACTTAGTAGAGACCTGTTTTTAGTAGGGATATTATAACTTTCATTTAAAAAAAAAGAATTTTCCAGGAAGTGAATGAATGTAAAGAAAACAGTCATAGGGCAATAAGGCAATAGGGCAATAGTACAGGGCAATTCGAATGTTTTTCGGTCCTCTGGTCCCACTGTCATAGCATTCCTGGGGTTCTGGAGTACCATAATATATTTTTATCATCGCCGTCGCATTCATTGAGATAAGTATGAACTTTGAGCAAACATGAGTTTCATTTATACGCAAAAAAAGAGCCATTTTCTGAAAGTGGTCTCACGGAAACGATTAGATTTCATTCCAGCAATTGATCAGCGTTGTTTCGACTCATGCAACCATGTTATTTTAGCGATAATGCTTTAGAAACCTCGATAGTATTATGAGCTAATAAGATTAATAATAATTAGATAAGATTAATAATTAGATGAGATTACTAATAATTAGATGAGATTAATAATAATTAGATGAGATTAATAATAATTAGCGAAGATTAATAATAATTAGCGAAGATTAATAATAATTAGCGAAGATTAATAATAATTAGCGAAGATTAATAATAATTAGATGAGATTAATAATAATTAGATAAGATTAATAATAATTAAGAGCATCTTCGATTAGGTGGAGGCTGAGAACAAATGTGAGAGATTTGTTCCAAGTCTGAATGGAATTGTTGATTCGATATTGATAAGAGGTGGACGATATCAATAAACGGTTTCAAATTTTCTTTCCTTAAGGTTAAGGTTAAGGAGGGGCGATCTCATCCAGGCTTTCAAGATAATTATCTTGAAATAAGGAAATATTCTTGAAAGGAATAGATAATGTCGAGTGTGGTATGTTTTTCCAGTTTGATGACAGCAAGAGTACGAGAGGTAACCGACTTACAACTAACACCTACTCTCTTTTCCGTTGGTTCACATACACCAATTTGCAAAAGTCTTTATCCACAGGATTTCAAGTATTTCTCAGAGTGGATGGAATGAATGTGAAAAGCAATTTCATTCACAAATAAGCTATGGGAAAAGGAAACAAATATATAACAATTAATAGTTGATCTTATCTTCCTTCGAATCAGTCAAAGCCAAATATTGCGATTTCAGCAGTCTTTTTTTCCCAAGGAAAGTTTTTAAGTTTAAAGGAATAACTAAACCTAACTATTGGAGGGGTAAAATAAATTCAGTTTAAAATAAAATTTTAAGGTTAGAGATAGTAACTACTCACATTCCACAATATGGATAAATTCTGTATTCCTGATGACTTGCCTTAAAACTTGGATCCATTTTCTACTTCGGTTTATTAGGTGGGTGATGAAATAATTTCCCACAGGCCACCTTCATTATCATATTTTACTTCCTAATAACACCTACTCCTTTTNTATCATATTTTACTTCCTAATAACACCTACTCCTTTTCGTGCGTTCGCATATACATTCTTGAGTGTTGTGTGATCGTCGAACTTATTGCCTGGATTCGAAACAGATGCCAGAATGAATAGGGGTTCATCACAATGCTGATCCCAGGAAATGATTTGGTTTACAGCTTCCTATCCTGCTGGAACACGTGTCCTCTCATTATTCATGACAGACCGGACGAGTTTCCGGATATGTACTAAAAATTATAATTATTCATGCTCAAATTTCATTTCATGCTCAAATTTCAAATCATTCAATTTTTCTTCCGTTCCACCACGACTATAAATACCGTTACAATCACCAGTCACTACAGAGTTTCATCCAGATTGGAAACATGAAGCAAACCGTGGTTTTAGCCCTGATCTTCGTTTGTGCTCTCTGCCTCTCTGAAGCCATCCCGAGTGAGTTTCAATATGTTCAAACTTTTTTTGCGTCAGGAGACATATCAACCCTGACTGTTTTAACCAATGTAATGCATCATGTGGAAATTGTGAATTACTTAATGAAGTTCATGTGATTGTTCATCATGCACTTCAATGCTTCAAAAAGTAAAATATGCAGAATTTTGTCGGTGGTATTATTAATTACGAAGACATTAACTTTGCGGTTACCGTTTGTTGTAAAACGTGGAATATTCTGTTTTTTTCTTCGCCTCATATATAGATTCCTTCCCGTTAAAATGAAATGCGTATCGTATATTAACCACGAAAAAAAAAACGAAATGAAAAAGAAACATAATAAACAAATGGGAAGGTGGCATTGGAGAAGATTGTGATCTAAACTGAATTATACGCAGGGCGTACCAGAAGTATCAAGACTCTGGCTATAATTTTTTCATGTGTTTGCCACGAAAATCTAATCCAGTTTCCTTCAACGTGTAACAAATTCGCAATGCACACTCAGAAGTACAAGTTGCTCTCTCTTATGACTGCGGAATGATGCCCTGAACCACACTTCGCCGATCCTGTTCAGCACTGTCTTCGTTTCTTCTCACCCCTATTCACACTTGCAATTCACACTGTTCTCGTTTCTTCTGAAGAAACGAAGACAGTGCTGAACAGGATCGGCAAGAAATGGTTCAGGGCATCAATCCCCAAGTGTGAATCGCGGTGGCAGAAATGCGTCCACCTCAAAGGGGAATACGTAGAGAAGGTTCATGATGATCCACAAGATGACTGAAATTGTTGTCGCACTGTAATTTCTGGTGCATGTGTTCCTTTCCCTGCCTGTATCTTGTTAATCATAAGGAGAGAGCAACTTGTACTTCTAAGCGTGCATTGCGTATTTGTTACACATTGAAGGAAACTGGATTATATTTTCGTGGCAAACACATTCATAAAATTATAACCAGAGCCTCAATACTTTTGGTACGCCCTTTGTATAACAAACAATCAATAGGTAAATTTATATTGAGAGAAAAAAGGAGTTTCATTCCTCAGCCACCTCGATGCTGTACTGACATGACATTATAGATTTCTTGAAGAACTCTTGCTGTTTACTCGGAATTCATGAATGTCAATAGGGCGCAGTGCTGGAGAGGACAAGAATAAAGGGGCAGAAGATGGAAATGAAGCAGAAACCATAGGAAAGAATACAGGAAAAGAAGGAAGAGGAGGTGGAAAACGAGGACAACATGGTGGAGAGAAAAGTGATGAAGAAGGCAAAGGAGAGGAAAGTGATGAAAAAGGTAAAGGAGGGGAAAGTGATGAAAAAGGTAAAGGAGGCAAAGGAGAGGAAAGTGATGAAGGAGAAGGAGGACGAGGCGAACGAGGAGGTGGAAAACGAGGAGGACGACGCGGTGGAGATGATGAAGGCGAAGGTGGACGCGGAGGACGAGGAGGTGGAGATGATGATGATGAAGGTGAAGGTGGACGAGGAGGACGAGAGGGTGGGAATAAAGGAGGAAGAAAAGGCGGCGATGATG